ATGTAGGAAGAAACTACATTTACACAGGCAGCTTTGAATCTCTCTAGTAAACAATCCTGTTAAAAATCACAGCTCACTGAGAATACAAGGGTAATTTTAGCAAATGTATTTCAAAGCATCTTCTAGGCGTTCTGATAGTGATGTGCCATAGCTTCAGCATTTCATGCAGGCTATGATCCTGCCATGCAACGGATCTGACCAGGCATCAGGCAAGCGGCTCCTGGCAGGCATCAGGTGGAGGAGCCACATGGCGCAGGGACTTGAGAAGGGGTGGGGGAGCTCTGATGAGTTGATGTCACAATCCACTCGTACAAGTGGGGATCGTGATGGTTCAGTAACTGATCTCAGAGTGCAAAAACACAGAGAGGATTTCAGTATTAATCAAAACAAATGCACCTTTATTGAGTGCTTACAGCAAATGTGATAGAAGGATTTAGAATGGAGATAAAGGGTAGAGAGAGAGAGAAAGAGGGGAGGGGTATAGCTACCAGTGGAGAGACGAAATCCTCGTAGTCTAGCCAATAGATCCATCTTGTCACATCTGGGAGCATCTAAAAGTCTTAGTTAACTCAGGGGTCTATTATAGTCATCTGTTGAGGGAGGAGCAGGTAAAAGACGATGAAGAATAAGTCTATTGAAACCACCAAGGGGAGAGCAGGTAAAAGACAATGGAAGAATAAGGCCATTGGAAAATGAGTACAGACAGTTCAGCTCCAAAACATGTCAAAGCAATCTCAGCAGTGAGCGGGACCCATTGTTTTCAGGATTGGTTTCTATGGGATTGGTCCAGCAAACACACCTGCAGACATCTTGCACACCTGCAAACATTTGGCAGACATCTTGCTTCAGTCAGGCCAGTGACTTCAGACCATCTCTTACATTTGAGGGGGCTTTCAAGCCCAGGGACCCAAAACCAGCCATGGGGCAAACTGTGGGCAGGGGGATTGATCTTTTTCCTTGGATCCGTTCTCAGGATCCATTCTCAGGATCCGGGCCTTGGATCTGTGCCCAAATTCGTTATCAGTATCTTTCTTAGCATTCCCTGTTGCAGCTGCTCACAGGAGTTTTAAATCAAGGTCTCTCTCATTTAGGAAAGAGTTAAAAGAGTTTTTTTAACCCGTAATAACAGTTGCTCTAATTTGGAGAAAGTGCTGCAATATTTGCAAGCTGCATCGACTTTATCAGAACACTATCCCACTCTTAGGATACTTACAGTTCCATGGTTCCTCATCCAGCAAACATCACAGACCTAATCAGCTGTACCAGGATCTTGCTTTGTGTCAGATTGTATCTGGCAAAGAAAGTCCCCCGTTGTTGTTGCAGGGTCTGACCTCTGCTCTCTGCTCACAGTCTGAAGGTTGTAAAGGTCTGCCTTGCCGAGTCGCAGTCATCCTCCTCACTGTAATCTTATCTCTTGTCGTTCATAGGCAGAGGAGGATAGAACAGGTTTGTCAAAACGGGATGTTAAACAGAGGGTCTCTCATGAGCCAGGTGGTGGTGGCAGCAGCAGTAGCTGCTGCTTCTCCATTGGCTTTTGATTGCAGCAATAAGTCCCGAACCAAGCACTACATCGTTAGCAATCTTGTGGCTATTTCTCCCTTTGTAGCTGTCTCCCATAAGCTTGCCCCACTTCCTCCCACGTTTTGACAAAAAAAGCAGTCGGTACAACTACTCTCACCCCATTTCTTTTGCACCACAGTAATAAGTTCATAAGGACTTATTTTTATCCATTGTTTGCCCTACATGAATGTCCATATATTCACTGTAGCTTTGTCTTTGGTCGAGCCTTGAACCCCCATTATCCCCAGCAGCTCACCTTGAGCATTTGCAGCTCTTCTCCTGGCTGCATTACCTCTCTCAATTCTCTGGCTGCCTTACCTCTCGCGACTCTCTTGGCCAGATACCTGCTACTGACCCCTTTCTCCACCACTATCCTCGCGGTCAGCTATTGCTGCATCACATTGGGGTTCCCAGATGTCACAGTAGAGACTGACAAGCCTTCATGCAGCAATAGCTCATCTTCATTCTTCACAGCTCATATTTCTGTAGTTTTCTAAAAGTATCATGTTTAATTCTAATTGGTTAGCAACTTGTTCCTCCCCAGTTCATTGGTTAGTAGTTGCTAGAATATGCTCGCCAAAAACTTACTTCCCTAAAGATGTTTACATTCCTTTTTCACATGGGTACAAGGATGGTTCTCATGGTTATGAATTTCTTTCTCACAGTTACTTTCAGGTGAGCTGTTAGCCATACTTAGCTGAAGTAGCAGGCCTGAGCCATGATTTTACAAGGGTAACAAGGCTCTTATTTTATAATGTTTTACCTGTATGCAACAGCATTGCAGCTAATTAGTGCTAAATCTGGTAGACAATTTTTGGATGATGAGCATACTTGTCTATAAAGAACAAAATGAGACCAACAGCTTAGTTTGCAGACTAGAACAAGCAGCCATCTGTCACCTTGGTTTTTTAAGGTTTTCTAAACATTCTGATGTTGACATTCTTGTAGTAAACTTTCTCACACACTTTCTGTAAATAACTCATTGTTTTGCATTCCTTTATGGAGGAAGAGAACGTTAATAGACTGTTAGTTTGACCAGTGTCATTGGAGAGGTGGCACTGTCACCCTCCAATCCGCTGTCACTTTTCGAAAACTGTAAATGTTAGAGTCAGAAAATGAACTTCCCTTTTTTCTTCACCTTGAGAACAGCGATGTGAGCTTGTGTTCTTTCGTGTCCTATAGTGACAGCCATCAGGAGATTATTTTCTGTTCATGAGCTGGAAACTGTGTCAGAGAACTAAAAATATTTGGAGTCCACCATACCTTGCCTTACCTCTGGAGCCAGTTTTGAATTACCTGCCCTACCTTGGTGTGTCTAACCCAGCAACAAACTCACACTTTGAAAATCAGAAAAATTGCAGATCCATGCCTGTAGCAACATTCCAGCTTTACAGTGGGTTTTGTGCTCTCTCTCTCCAGGAGATAGATCTTTTATATAAATTAATTAGGTACAGTAGAAGTGCTGCTAGTTGAATATTAAAGTATCTGCTTTTGCTGCCTATTTGTACTGAGGAGCATGTTGAAATGCTGGATTGCTGCAGATTTTATGCCAGCCATGTACAAAAACAATTACCTGCAAATGATGTTGACATTCTGCCCCCTTGCACTGGAGCCATGCATCAGATCTCTTACCTCTGCCATATATCACTTGATTCTGAATTGTTCTGCTGGGTCATTAAACCTGTTTATTTTAAGTTTTTAGAAGATTGTTACATTTTTAACCCTCTTTCATACTCTTCAAATTACTCTAGCATTTAACTCACAGCTAAACAGCAGAATAGATTAATTTACCACCTGAGAATAAAAAACAAAGTTGAGGAAAATGGATTTATTTTTACAAAATATAACCTTGCAAAACTTTTTAGGGTAGACAACATGTTTCCACTTTGTGCTTGCCTGCTGCAAAGAAGTTCTGGTCTGGTGCTGGATTTGTAGATATCCCCTTAAATACACAGTAAAATTATACAGGGGAAAGGAATACAAGGGAGAAGCTAAAAATGGATTTTTGTCTCTGTGCATGCAAACAAGATAAGCCTCAGGAAAAACAGAAGAGGAGGAAATCCAGCCATGGGACCACTCCTTGAACAGGCTCCTTTCCCCAGCTGAGCTCTCCCACCCCTTCCTGGAATTATCCATGACTCCTGCCCTATCACATGTGTCACCATGAAAAATCAAATTTTTCTTGAACAGTGGAGAAATCTGGAGACAGCCCTTGTTTATATATGTGTGCCTTGGACTACTTTTAGGTTTTTTTTTTTAAATTCCAAGTTTTGTGCCATCACTGAAACTGAGATCCAGGGACATCACAGTGGTGTGCTTAGCGGAACAGATCGTTCAATCTTCCCCCCTTTCCCAGCAGCAGCACATGAGGTTATTAAAGATTTACTATTTCTAGCTCTAGTCCCAGGTTACAATTAACATTCTGCACCATAGGAGCTTTTCAAAAGCTGTAAATTTTATCTGGTGCACAGAAACCTACTCCTTGCTTTATCTCACTTGGCTTAGTTATATTAAAAAGGAAAAAGTGAGGTTGGAAAGTAATTATGTGGTGGGGGGTGGCAAGGGGGTGGGGCGTGGAATAGAATTTATCATGCTGAAAAGGATTTAGCCCTGCAAATGAGTTCTTTGGGTCCTGAGAACGGTTTCAAATATTTTAGGTAGTCTCTCCAGATATTCTCTATAAAGAAGAGGTGAGGCATCTCACCCATGCCTCAAGATCAATTGGAAGAGAAAGGTACTTTTACCATTACCAGGCCATGAAAAACTTTCTTTTTATCCCAGATTCACCCCAACACTGGCTGCTCCTTTTGCAGTTTCAGATGGTTTTCCAAATAAAAGAATACATCCTCATAAGGCAATTAATTCAATTTCCCTCTCTCCTTCCCTAAACTAAGGTACTATTCTCTGGCCTCTTAGTCTGGTAGTTTAACTGGGATACTGGCCACTACTGATGACAATATTGGATTAGTCTAGGTTTACTTGGTGGGTCTCTTCCAATGTGTTTCTAGTTTTTCAATATACATTTCAATGGAGAATTGAAATCTCCCACTTTGGTTTTAGAAGAAACCAGCCCCATTTTCAATAATTACAAATATACAAGCTATTATCTCTGAAAATTATAATGGTATTTCCAGGTTTGTAACAGAAGGGGGAGTGGGGAAGAGAAGGAAGACTGCTACACCGGCAATCACTAAAACTGACACAAGAGGGTGCATTAAGTCCACAAGTGCTTTTTTCATACTATCACAAAAGAAAATTTATTTCCCTTGACAAAATAAAATTTCCCTCAAAAAACTTTTCATTCTGATGCATGATTTAGAAAGCTGACCGCTATGGCAGATTTGTCCTCTAATTCAATACTTTTGTTCAGAAGACACAAATCAGCAACCTGATTACAATGTGATTCAATCACAGTATTGACCTTTGAAATGCAGAGTAAACTAATCATCATCATCATCAGAAAACTGCAGTATTGCTAGTGGTTCAGTGTCAGGCTCAGCAGCAGCAAGGCCTGTAGAGAAGAAGGGAAGGAATTTGCCTTCCTGTCTGCTGCCATCAGCAATGCTCAAAGTGTACAAAGCTACTGCCTTAAATACATCATAAAAAGAAACCTTCTTGGCTGGGATGTCCAAGAAGATCCCAATCTTTGACAAATAGCCAGTCACAGTCAGAGAGGTCCAAGGATTCGTGCAGGCCAAATAATCTTGCCCGTCTACACATGCGATAACCCAGAAGCCATTCTCAGGACACAGAGTCAAAGTCCCTTTGCGAGCCACAGATTCAGAGGCAATACCCAAGGCCCAGTTTCTTCTTGTCCCAACATTTACTTCCCAATAGTGTTTCCCAGAAGTGTATCCTTCCTTTGCCAACACAAACAGATGGGAATCAAATCTCTTCTGATTTCTGAGCATGAATCTGATGACACCAGTATCTTTCACTGTCCTCCCATCTGCAGAGATTTCCAATCTGGGATGAGCTGTGTCAGCATCCAGGATGACATCTCCTGCAATGGTCAAGTCAGGCCATGAGGAGCAGAAAACACAAGCTCTGCTTTGCTGAACCTTTCCCTTCTCTGCCATCATCCCCCTCTCATTTGTCCTTCCCCCTCTCCATGCTCAGGTGCACTCAGCAGGCTCTTGTCTTAGGATATCTCAAGCTTCTCCCTCTCCTCCTGCCATGTCCGTTTCTGCCAGAGAGAGTGGCAGCCAGCATATACCAAATGCCAGACACTCTTCCAGTGTTCCTGAGACTACAGCAGGCAGCTCCTAGGATGAGGCTGTGCTGCTCAACCTTCTCTGCCTCCATCTCTGCATTGCTGGCAGGGGGTAGCCTGAGAGAAAGGATCAGGAGTTGGCAGCAGATGGAATTAGGTTTGCTTGCCAGCAGCTGTAATTAGGTTTGGATTAACTCCTTGCCAAAGTCTGAAGGGGATTTTCAAGCTTTAAGCACGTTTTTCCTCAATAACAGGAGACCACCAGTGCATGATACTGCTTGCACATGGATTAGAGTGGAAGAGAAGCCTGCAGTGCCACAAGAATAGGGGAATGTTTCTTGCCTCAGCTTTCTACATGCATCAGGGGATGGGAGGAACCCTGGTAGGACTCAAGCAAGGTGCAGTGCCACAAACTGAGGTCCTCTAGCTCAATTCTGATTGAAAGGAGAAGGAGCTGCTCCTGCTGTGGAGCAAGATCAGCTTCAGACACTTTTCCTGAGAGGCCCAAGAGCCAAATCAGGAGTGGAAGATGGAGCTGCAGTGGCCACTGCAAGCCAGCTGTGCCTGCTCCCCACAGTGGAGAGGGCTCCTGAGGAACACAGGCAGGGCCTTGGGCAGCACATAACAGCAAAAAGTCAGCCAGCCACCCTTCCCTGAGTGTGTTCTTCCCCAAACAGCTATCTGAGGGGGTTGGATGTGTTTTCTAGAGCTGCACTCAGGCTCTTGAGTACTCACTTCCTCATCTCACTTATGCTTACGTTTGTAGGACTGTAGGACTGGAAGATCTGTGGGAAAGGAGAAAAGCAGGAAATAAGTGCTTGCTCTGGCAATGAAGCAAAATTGGCCAACTCTCCCCCCTTGGTGACAATGAGGCCACTCTCATGCTCCCCTACTCTGACACTGACAGTATGGTCAGATGCAAGGCTCGTAGTGTTGCTGGGGCGCTGACAACACAGTCAAACAGAACGGGATTGAGGATATCTCTTAACATGACACCCAGCTCGCTCTCCTTCATCACACTGATGCCACGCCCATGCTCTCCTACTCCCCCACCACACACACGCACCCTTCTCTTAACCAGTTCTACTCTCATTTCATCAAAGACTCCCAGAGAAAACATCAGGGTGTGTGATAATTTTGTTTTCCAGACATGGGGCATATGGCTCCAGCTTGCTTCCTCTGAGGACCGAGGAGGACTAAAATGTGCTGTGAGATGAACTCAGCCTCCCTTTCCTTTTCAAATGGGAAAGAGAGGCCAGAGGAATGGCCAGACCCTAAACTAAAGGCTTTCACAGAGAAAGGCTTGCCAGGAAGCAAAGGTGACTTTCACTGCACCAGTTACTCCTGGAGACCCTGTCAAAGTGATCGAGCACTGCTGGGCCAGGGGGAAGAGGAGCAGGCCTTGCCCAAGGCCTGAGCCCCTACATTTCATCTGGGACTCTCACACTCGTAGTGGTCCTTCCTTCCCTGAAGTCTCCAACTCCCAGTGTTCTGGGGCACATGGGCTCTGGAAAAAGGAGAACAAAGACCCTCCCAGCTCAGTAGAACTGGTTTGGATGGATTGACTGCTGGAGTGCTAGGGAAGGAGCACAGGTCCTGTGAGCACTCCCAAAGGCTTGAGAAAGGCCTGATGGGCAGGATGGAGGGTTGGGATCAGCCCCCTCCATCTCTCCAAACAGCAGTTATGGGCTGTGGGAGACAACAATATTTGTTAAGGGGAAGAGAAGTGGGGAAAGCAAGAAGACAATACTAAGGCATGGAGGTGGGCCCCTTTACCACATATTGGGTCATAGAGAGCCTACACTACACATTCCTTTCATAGACAAGGTAATGAAGAGGAACTTTGACCACCTGCTGCCATCATCTCAGTGTTCAGGTGTCTTCACAGGTGGGGACACAAGAGCTACTTGCCAAGAAAATCTGTCCCTCTCCATCCACTTTGAGAAGCTGTGTACAAGAAGCTCACAGGACAATTTGCCTGTAAAGCAGCTTTTGCCTTCAGAGAGATGAAGTTCTGCTGGAAAAGGCCTTGCTCACCTAAGTCATATTTTGTGGACCCCAGTGAGGTCTGCAAAGTTTTTTCCAGAGTTTGTATTTCTTGGGAGAGCTGCTGGATGTCCATCAGCCTCATGGATTCCAAGACCCTTGAGGTATTTTCCTTCACTTGCCTTCCTGTAAGAGAAGACTGGTGTCAGTGGAAATGTGGTTTTGCCTCACCTGAGATGAGTACGGTATCACAAGTTACAAGGGATGGTTCTTCTTAAAAAGGACTAAAAAGACACTGTGCTTTTACTCCCTCCAAATGTGATGGAGAGAAAACAAACGTTTACTGACTCCCAGCACCATTTCACCATCAAAGATGTTCCACTGTCATGGGACAAAAGAGCTGCTCACAAGGAAGTTCTGCCCCATGCACCTACTTGGAGGAGGCAAAGAACTAGATCACAGGACATTTGTAGAGCAGCTTTTGCCTTTTGAGATATGAAGGCCTGCAGGGGAATGGCCTAGCTTACCTAGTTCATTCTTCATGTCTGCTCTTATCATCTGCAGGTCACACTGTGTGGACCCCTTCATGTTCTGGAATGCTTCCTGCAGAGTTTGCATTTGCTGGGAGAGCTGTAGAAGGTCCTTCTTCCACATGGATTCCATAGTCCTTGTATTTGCCTCCACTGTCCTTCCTGTGAAGAAAGAAGCATCTCACTGGAACAGTCTCATTGCTGTCTTGAGGGGGAGACTGGCAACCTGCAATCACAATGCCTTGAAGCTCTGATTTAAACTCCCTGGCAGAGCACCTTCCCTTAGGACTCTCCCATTCCCTGTGGTCCTCCCTAAAGGCTTGACCAAGGCCTGCTGGGCAGCACTGAAGGCAGCACTGGCCTCAGTCCATCTCTCCAGACAGCATCTGTGTGCCCTGGGAAACAACACTCTTTTTCACGAGGAAGATGTGGTGGGACATCCCCTACCTGTCCCTCAGAACCCATTGTGGTCCCAGGAACGTTCACTGTACCTCAGCCTTGGTCAGTGGTTCCCAAGATTGGATATGGACCCTGTGCCTGCCCAGGGCAACGTCCCTGGACATTTGGCAGAGAGTGCTGGGTGCTGCCAGTGCCCTCTCCTGCCCGCACCTCATGCACTGGCCATGGCGATGCCCCCTAGCCAAGCAGGTGAGCATAGGGTTGGGCTAGTTGTGGGTTCTTCAACTTGGAGGTGTTTCAGTGTCACAGAGCAGAAAACTGGTTTGCCATGTAACGACTCTCCTTCTTCAACCACTTTGAGGAGGTGAGTCCTGAGAATAAGTTCACAGGACTGTTTGCCTGTAGAACAGCTTTTTTCTTTAGAGAGATGAAAGCTTGCTGGGGAATAGCCTTAGTTTACCTAGGTCATGCTCCAAGTCTGTTCTGATCCTCTGAAGGTCACACTGTATGGCCTCATATCTCTTCTGGAAATTTTCCTGCAGAGTTTGAATTTGTTGGGAGGCTTCATGGTGGTCTTTCTCCAGCCTGGCTTCTAAGGTGCTTGTTTTTGCCTCCATTGTCCCTCCTGAGAAGAAAGAACATTTTCATTCGGACAAAGGTTTCATGGTTCATGGTTTTCTTGAGGGAGAGACCATTGGTCGGTAATGACAATGCCCAAAAGCTCGTCATCACAGCTCGTCATATAAAATCCCTGTCAGAGCATCTCTTAGGGCTCTCTTAGGTATCTCCCACTCCCTGTGGGTCTTCCTAATGGCTTGACCAAGGCCCCCTGGGAAGGATGGAGGGTAGGAATGATCCCACTCTATCTCTCCAGAGAGTACTCTGGGGAGATAATATTCTTTGTTATGAGGATTGCGTGATGTCACAGAGCACAAAAACTGTTTCCTGTGTAAGAGCTGTCTTTCCCCATCCCCCTTGAGGAGATGTGGCGGACAAGTTCCAGGACAGTTTGCTTGTAGGGCAGCCTTTGCCTTTAGAGGTATGAATGCCTGTCATGGAAATGCTTCTGCTCACCTAGTTTGTTCTCCAGGTCTCTTCTGATCATTTGAAGGTCACGCTGTATAGCAACCTTCATGTTCTGGAAAGTTTGCTTCAGAGTTTGAATTTGCTGGGAGAGATGCAGGAGGTCCTTCTGCCACATGAATGCTATATTCCCTGTGACATTTGCCTCCACTGTCCTTCCTGTGAAAAAAGACTGGTGTCACTGGGACAATGATTTTTCTCCCTTGAGGTGAGGTCGTGTCCCACTAATGACACAAAACTTTCCTCTTAAAAAGGAACAAGGAGATGTTCTTTCACTCCCTTTTACAACAAGTGAGAGAAGAGAGACCTTGACCATCTCCAGTTGCCACCTCAGCAACAAAGGTGTTCCAGATGACTGGGATATAAGAGCTGCTCCCAAGGAAGTTCTGCCCTTTCTGACAAAAGGTAAATGATAAACTCACAGGTCAGTTTACCTGTAGAGCCAGATTGACCTTCAGGGAGATGAAGTCCTGCTGGGGAATGGCCCTGCTCACCTAGTTCATCCTTCAGGTCTGTTCTCATAATCTGAAGGTCTCACTGTGTGTACAGCTGGGTGTTTTGAAAAGCTTTCTGCAGAGTTTGAACTTGTTGGGACACTTCATGGACGTCCTTCTTCCACATGGATTCCAAAGCGTTTGTAGTATTTGCCTCTACTCTCAATCCTATAAAGAAAAAGAACAGTGTCATTGGGACACTCTCATTACCTTCTTGAGGGAGAGAGCAGTGTCCTTATTTAAATTCACTGTCAGAGAGTCTCTTCAGGTTTTCCCTTTGAGTATTCTTGATAAAAAAAGCTGTTCCCCACATAGGGATTGTACTTCTCCATCTGCTTTGAGAAGCTGCCGTGGACAATCACCCAGGACAGTTTGCCTGTAGAGCAGCTTTTGCCTCCAGGGAAAAGGCAGCCTGCTGGGGGAATGGCCCTGCTCACCTAATATATTCTCCAGGTCTGTTTTGAGGAGCTGAATATCACACCGTGTGGACTCCTGCTCATTCTGGAAAGCTTCCTGCAGAGTCTGAATTTTTTGGTAGAGGTGCTGGTGGTTCTTCAGCCAAACAGTTTCCAGGGACTCCACTCTCCTTCCTGTGAAAAAAGACTGGTGTCACAGAGATAATGATTTTTCCTCCCCTGAGGCGAGGACTTTTTCCACTAGTGACATAGGCCTTTCCTCCTAGAAAAGACCAAGGAGACGCTGCTCTTTCACCACCTTCAAGGACAGGGGAGAGAAAAGGGACCTTGATGACCTCCAGTTGCCATATCAGCAATCAAAGATGTTCCACTGGCATGGAACATAAGAGCTGCTCCCAAGGAAATTCTGCACAAGGCACACACTCCAAGGACTAACTCACAAGTCATTTTGATTGTGGAGCATTGTTTGCTTCCAAAAAGATAAAGGCCTGATGAGGAATGGCCCTGCTTATCTAGTTTTATTTTTTCCTTTTTCTTTCTTTATGCAGGGAGGGCACAAGAAATTCAATTCAGTTTCCTCATGTCCTGCCTATTTCTAATTTATACTCTCCAGACTTTTCTTTCTTCAGACAATCCTTTCTAATTCAGAGGCCTTGGAAAATAACTCAGCCCTGAAAAACAAAGATGGGGACTTCACATTCTGATGGACCTGTAGGCACCCTTACTGATCTCTTCCTTGGCTTTCAAATCCTCTTCCACCAAGAGTTTGCTCTGGGAAGGAGCCTTGGCCTCTCTTCTGGACCTGCATTCTTCCTTGTTACATGGAAACTTTTTTCCACTACAGTTTTTACCTGTTGAAAGGGGTCTCAGCATCACTGTGAGCCCTTCTAAACATGAGCTTGAAGCTGCTGTGCTGCTGGTGAGGAATATTGAAAGGAGCCCCATTGCCTCCTCACACCCCAATGGTCTGGCCACAGGGAAGAACCCAGGCTATGCTGCTTGCCAAGTGAGCAAAGAACATTCCTCTGCCAGCATCCCAGCTGGAAAGAATGGGAATGGGAGAAAAGATGGCCTTAGATCCCAGGGAGGATGGGATCCGGAAGAGTCCAGGATGTCCTGGTCAGTGCTGGGAAAAGCCCACTTTTGGGGCAGCTCTGCATCTTGGGAACTTGGAGTCCCGAACATCTGCATGGGGATGGGAAATATAACAAAGGACTTGTTGGAGGACTGTGTAAGTGGGAATTTCCAGAGGGGCGAGATGTATGATTGCACTGCGCTAGACCCTCATGCACCTTCTTCTTGCTTGGCAGAGGTTTTTTTCCAAGAACTGTGGGTATGTGCTGGCACTAATCCATCAGAGAATGCTGATGGAAAGGCTTCTCTTTGTGTCACATAGGACCTCCCCTTGGTCATCTGTTGATAGTCCAACAAGAGAATGAGTCTCATAGAAATGCAGAATTGCAAAGTCAACTCACCAGACAATGGTTTGGGTTTTAAGACACCTTATAGACCTCTCTTTCCAATCCACCATCATCTCTTTCCAGCCTTCCACTAGACCACATTGCTCTAAGCCCTATCCAACCCAGCCTTGAACCCTTCCAGGGATGAGATATCCTTAGCTCCTACAGCAATCTGTGCCAGGGCCTCACCACCCTCACAGGGAAGATTTTCTTCCTATTATCTGATTTAAATCTACCCTCCTACAGCTTAAAATCAATTCCACCTTGTCCTAGTAATCTGTGCCCTTGTAAGAAGTCCCTCTCCAGCCTTCTTGTAAGCTACTGGAAAGATGTCAGAGACTGGGTAAGTTTAGTGTCTCAAGTCAATGCTTTTCTGTGTGTCTGTATGTGTGTATGTGTGTCTTTGCATCTCTGCGTCTGTCTCTGTGTGTGCATGCCTGTTTGTCTGTGTCTGTATGTCTCTGTGCATTTGTGCCATCTCTCTGTCTGTATGTCTGTGTCCCTGTGTGTGTCTGTCTGTGTGTGTCTATGTGTCTGTCTGTGTCTGTTCATGTCTGTATGTGTCTGTCTGTGTTTGTGTGTCTGGTTGTCTCTGTGTCCGTGTGTGTGTCTGTGTCTGTGTCTGTGCATGTGTCTGTGTGTCTGTGTGTGTCTCTGTGTCCATGTGTGTATCTCTCTGTCTGTATGTGTCTGTGTGTCTTTGTGTCTGTCTGTATCTGTTTGTGTGTGTCTTTCTGTGTGTGTGTCTGTGTGTATCTGTTTGTGTGTATCTAAGTTTGTGTCTGTGTGTCTGTGTCTCTGCATTTCTGTGTCTGTGTTTGTGTATCTATTTGTGTGCGTCTGTGTATGTGAATGTGTGTGTCCATGTGTGTGTGCGTGTGTGTGTGTGTGTTTGGAGGCAGGTCAGGCCTTTCTTTCAGGTAAGACAGCGCCCTGCCCCCAGACCCCTCAGATTGACTGAGCTGTCAATCAGTCAAACAGCAGGGGGAATTTCCTGCTCAGCCTCTGATTGGCTGAAGTTCCAGAAATCCCGTCTAGGAGGTGGGCCCACAAAGTGCCAAGGGATTAAAAGGGATGACCATCCAGTACCAAACTGTCTGCCCTTGGTGGCTTTTTTGGGGTTCTGGTCTTACCAACGTCATAACCCTAGGAGTTGGTAGCTATGCCTGTGGTTTTTCTATATCTTTTCTGTCTTTGTCTCTGTCTTCTCCTAATTCTCTTTTCATGAAACTTTGTGGGTGACTTCACATGTTAAGGACTTAAAAGTTTCTAGGTTAAATGGGCTAAGTAAATTAAGTTGCTATCAAACTAATACTAAGTAATGTCACTATAAGTGGTTTCATGTTGAATTTCATGTTGTATTTAATCCTTTTGCCAAAGCTTGCTTAATCTTCTATATTTTGGCAGTAAACTTTTGTGTGATTTTCAGCTCTTGAGAATATCTGGTGGGGATTTATTTCTCCATTGTGCTATCTAGAATCAAGGAACTTTGAGTTTAACCCCTGGATTTAAGTATCCAGGGTGTAATAAAGGGTCTCTAAAGTCTGCCTAGAGCCCTCTCTGCTTCTGTTGTTTTTCATAACTACCATAGGCAATGAATATGGACCATTCCAGATATACCAGGTAGCTGGTCCTGATGCAGCAAAACAACTGACAAGACACCAACCCTCCTGCTCTGGAAGACATCTAGGACAGATAGAACCTACAGTCATGGATAAAATGAACTCAGTAGACATCTTGGTGGGATGGCTGTCGACTATGGAGATGATACCTATGTTTGTATACTTATGTATACAAACATACCTCACATATATATGTGAATGTTTATGTATATATGTTGGAGGGTGTAGGACGTTTAAATGAGTAGATGGTATAAATTAAGTGGTGGAAAATGTCCTGGTTCAGGCCAGGACAGGGTTAATTTTTGCAGTGGCTGGGAAAGGGGCATGACCAGGACCCTAATGTGATTTGTTACAAACTCACATCATTGGCATGGAGTTGGTGGGAAGTGGAAAGGGACACTGTCTCTTCTGGGAAAAAGGGATGCCTTCTGGTCAAAAAGAAAGGGCAGGGAGGGAAGTCATCCTGTATTTGTTTATTGTCATGGGGTCCTTGATGTGGATTTTGCATATGAATGACTCTCTCTTTTTTACACTTCCTTTATTAATATTGTTCTTGTTATTGTTTTTTTTCTTATCTCATTGCTGATTCCAGTAAATTATTCTTGTCTAAAACCATGATCTTCATCTTTTGTGCCTCCAGTTCTCAACTCCATCCTGTAGCAGCAGGAAGAGAGAGGAATAGGGGACTGAAAGTATGGTGTGTCATTAGGGAGTCTCAATGGGAGCAGTGAATTGGGGAGTTCCATTCCTAAACCACAATACAGACAGAAATGGAGATGAGGCTGAAGGCACCGAGCTTGAGAGAGGCAACTGGTGTGAGGTCAGTACAGCTTTTGGGGAGCGGTCAGTCCTGCCTTGCCATGAGCAATGAGGTGCTGGTGTGGGCCCTTGGCCATGACACTCTGCCACAGGTTCCCAAGGCTTTGCAGGGCCCTGCTCCAGCTCCCAGCCAGGAAGGAAAACCAAGTCCCCAAAAGCCTCCCAGAAAGGGGAATAGCCGTGCCCTCAGACACCACAGAGCTGGAACACCTGGCACTGGACTGGGGAAACAAGACTTCTCCCCAGCCATGTCTGCAGAGGCAGAGATCTCTGAACAGGCCCTTACCAAGGTGGGAGGCACCACTGACACTTCTAGGAAAAAAGATCCAGATCTGATGAATGAGCTCCACTGGAACCATTGGGAAGAATGAGACCAATGGAGGTAGAGGAAGGGACGTTCTAATTCACCCCAGAAAAAGTACCTCAATCCCATCCTCCTTCCTTCTCTTGCCTGTAGATGCCATGGTCCACCCAAGCTCTCATGCATGCGGTGGCATCTCCCTTCTGCCTCTGGATGACAGACAGCAAAATTCTACCTGCAGGAGAACTCAGAATTTGAGCTGCGTGGAAGCTAATGCATCTGTGAGCCAGAAGTAGACTCTACATGGTATTTCATCCTATTTGTCAGAGAGTAGTCTTACAAGAGGCTGAGAAATTACATCCTGCAGCCTCACGTCTAAGAACATGAGGTCCTGTGAACCAAGAGGCCTTACCTTGAAATACTAGAACAGCACCAGCCGCCAGGGTGAGAAGGAATAAAGGGAGCTGTATCCAGGAGGCAGGCACCCACTGAGATGCACCTGGAAAAACAGAACCTTTGGAGAAAAAAATTCCAAAATTCCTTTGGGGAAAAAAGTCCACCCCAAGAGATTTTGTGGAGATAAATGGAGAAATAGTCACAATCCTACACAGGTGGTCAGAGCCTGCCTTCCCTCAGGATGTGCACATCCCTAGGGGCAAGAGGGATCCTGCTCATCTCACACTGCAACCTGTCCTGCCTGCAGTGCCTTGTGGTGCGCTGGGATGGGTCTGGCTGAACTAGATAGCTGCCAGCTTCCCTGGCACTGCAATGGGCCTCACAGGGCTCCTGAGACAGTGAGCCTCCAGCAAAGACTTCTGGGGACAACAGAACTCACCTGAGATGTGCACAGTAGTTTTCTTCTCCCTCTGCACCAGTGGGTTCAGGATTTGACAGGTGACTTTTCCCACTTACTCTTCTGTAACTGTGACTCAACTACAGACACTGAAGAACTTATCACTGTCCTGGTTACTTTCAGTGTCTGCAGAGAGCCCCTGCCCATCCTCAGTAACCCACTGGACAACAGGTTCTGGAAACCATCTGTGTGATCTGCAGCCAAGCTCTAGCCCTCGCCCTTGGGGGCCCTGAATTTCAATGAACACTTCACCAATACCTTAAAGACAAGGGAGTTTCTTAGTGAGAGGAGTTTGTTTCCTTGAAAGCAGCTCTTCCTTTGATTCACAGCTCTTTCTTAACCCAGAGTTTCCTGCCAGTTTGTCAGTTTTTCACAAAACCTTTACATTAGTCTTTCTGTCATCCTGCACTTCATCGGCCATAAATGCCAAAATTCCTTTGGCTTTGAGAGAGCTATGGTGTGGGATGGATTCGCTTCTCAGCTCCCCATTATTTCATGGAGCAGGCAGGGAGAAGGTGTGTGCTTTGTATTCTTCTTTTGGAATGACTCTGTAGGACCCCCATCCAATTTTGAGGATTGGTAAAGCAGGACACAGCCCAGTAGAGCCCAGGCACCTCCCCATTCCATGCCAGAACTACAGATGGGCACAGATGGTCACTGACAGGAACTGTGCCAAAGCTTCACCAGTGTGAGGAGGTGGGATGCACCACACACAATTCAGAGTCACACTCCTGGTCAAAGCTGGATTTTATATGAATTTGTCCTGTGTAATACTAGGAAATGGGCGCTGTCTTGAAGCTTTTTCTCTCTCCTCTCCCAAAAGCATCTCTAATCCCCTTTGGATGAGGGGTTTTAGATTCGATCTTAGGAAGAAATTCTTGACTAAGAGTGAGGCACTGGCACAGCTTGCCCCGAGCAGCTGTGGATGTCCCATCCCTGGAAGTATTCAAGGCCAGGTTGGACAGCATTTGCTCCTGCCCATGGCTGGGAAATTCAAATGAGAAATTCTTTAAGGTCCCTTCCAACTCATGCTTTTGCGTGATTCTAAGATTCCCTGGTTCCATCATTCTATGCTCTTTCTCATTAGTGAATCAAGGTTCACCAGCTCCATCTGACATTATCAATACCTGCACACAAATGGTGGTGACTGTCCAGCCGGGGGGAACCGGCAGCACAGAACATCTCCTTAGCCCTTACCCCAGCTGAGAAGTCACAAGACAGAGGGCCTCATTCCCATCAGTCCCACAGCCACGGATGCTGAGCACTTGGATGTCTGTCAGGTAGCCTCACACCTCCCCAGCAGGGATTATTGCAATTTTCCAGCCCCATGTGGGTCAGAACAGGGCTCAGGCTAGGCATGGAAGTTGCGGAACATCTTGACAGCTGGCCTATGCTGGGAGTGGGGAGGTGATGTGTTGGGTCATATGAGGGGGGCATCAGCTGGGGGACAGTAATATTTTGGAGAGCTCTTTTCCTTCTGTAAGAGCTTCCCCCCTTCCCTGCCCAGCCCAGAAAGTCTCCAACTGCAATGCTGAGCTTGGTGGCCATATCAACAATCCAATCCCTGGATATCACAGTGAAACTGTACATTTCTTCATCTGCTGGCTGGACATTCCTCAGTGTCAGGGACACATTCCCAGTGTCAAATCCATCTGTTGGCACTGATATCCATCCATGCTATTTCTGCATCTGTTCACCCCCAAACTACCTACATGTGTAGATGTCCTCTCTGTGCCCATCTGTGATTTTTCTCCACTGCACTTCGGGATTGTCCAGTGGCTATGTGGAAGAGATGGTGCAAGGAATGATTGTATCCTGACCAACTACATTGTATCCTATTCCAACTACATTTTCAGGAGAGGTGAGCTCAAAATTGTCTGTGAGTGAGCATCAGGCTGAAATCCATCAGAAAATGTACTGGTGTGAAGGAAACAGGTCTAGGAGTCACAATGGGGAACAACTGAAAGTAATAGATTAGAGGGAGAAAACAGGATGATACAAGTTGTACAGGATGGGATTATTTTGGGGAAAAGAAAAAAAAATAAATGCATAAAAGCATATCCAGAGCCATTTCATGCACCTCCCCAGCTGGCCTTGCCCTTTCTCAGCCCTGTGTCACCAGCAGCAAAGTGGCTGTGACAATGCCAACTGCCAATGCAGACAGGGAAATGCTCCTAGCACTGGGGCAGAGCTGGACAGGGCACAGCTGTCTTGGCTTAGGTCTTCCCTGGCTTCACCTCTGACTTCAAACGGCTGGATTCCCCAAAACAGAGGGGCAGGACAGCTCTGGCTCTTGTGGAGTTCGAATCAGGGCTGCTCAGGAGACCATGACCCTCAGCTCCACGACTTTTGATCATCTGCAGGCTGGAATCCCTCAGGAAGGAACAGAAAGGAACAGAATGAAAGGAACAGAACAGCTCATGGAAGCATTACCTGAGAAAGGGATAGCCAGAAGAAGTGCCAGAGCCAACAGGACCCATCTCTTCTGCTCCATCCCTGCAGTCCAAGGGGTGGGATGATCCTGCAGCTGACCTGGAACAGTCACAGAAGGGAAGTGAGAAAAGAAGGGAAATCCTGTCCCAACCCCTTCAGATCTTTCTCCTGGCACTTGTCACTAGCTGTGACTCCTGAAGGTGCCAAATCTCAAAAAGCTGAGATCAGAAATCAAGAAAACTTGTGCCTTTCCAGAGATCTCAATTATACTTGCAGCTTCTGGGAATTTCAGTCTAGCGTGCTCTCAGGAAGCTGTGACAGGGAATGCCAGAGAAAATTCAATCCAGTCCCTACTTCCTGCTGTGAAATTTAATGGACACCTTAAAACACCAGTTTTGGTTTGGAATCACAGAATCTTTAGGCTGGAAAAGGCCTCTGAGATCACAGAGTCCAATCTTTGATTAAAGACCACTAGACCAGGCACTTAGCACCACATTCAGTCTTTTCTTAAGCATTTTGAGGATGTTGACTCTACTACCTCCCTGGGTAGCCTGTTCCAATGCCTGACCACCCTTCAGTGAAGAAATTGTTCCTGACATCCAACCTAAACCTCCTCAGCACAACTTAAGGCTTGAATTTCCTCTTGGCATTTTACTAGTTTTCTGGGAGAAGAGGTCAACTCCCAGCTTGCTACAATTTCCTTTCAGGTATAGAGAGTTATATGGTCACCCCTTCTCTCACTCTGTTGAGTTTACATGGGCAGGTTTTGGTAGCAGGGGGGTTCCAGAAGGGTGCCTTCTGTGAGAAGCTTCCCTGTGTCCAACAAAACCTATGCCAGCCGGCTCCAGGACAGACCCCCTGCTGGCTAATGCTGAGCTACACATGGATTGTGATGATGCCTCTGTGATAACATATTTAAAAAGAAAGTTATTGTGCAGATGTAACAGAGACCAGAGAATAGTGAGGTGAGAACATGTGAGAAGAACAGCTCTGCAGATAGCCAGGTCAGTGCAAAAAGATGAGCAGGAGTGCTCCAGGTACCAGAGTAGAGATTCCCCTGAGAGTCTGTGGGGAAGCCCATGGTGAGGCAGCTGTGCCCCTGCAGCCCATGGAGGGTACACAGTGCAGAGATCTACCTGCAGCCTTTGGAGGAGCTGCACTCTGGAGCAGGTGGATGCCCAAGAGAGGCTGTGACCCCATGGGAAGCCCGTGCTGGAGCAGAGTACTGGCAGGGACCTGCAGACCCATGGAGAGAAGAGCCTAGGCTTGAGCAGGTTTCCTGGTATGGCTTGTGATCCTGTGAGCAACACACACTGGCATGGACTGTACCTGAAGAACATGAATGTGTGGCCCACATTACAACAGTTCATGGAGAACTGTTCCCTATGGGAAAGACACACACTGAAGAAGTCTGTGGAAAAGTGTCTGCCCTGGGAGGGACCCCACACTGGAGCAGAGGAAGGATTCTGACTCCTCTCCCTGAGCAGGGTCACAAACAATGTGTGATGAATTGACCATTGCTTCCATTCCCCATCTCCCTGTGCCACTGTGAGGAAGAGGTAGAGCTGGGAAAGAGGGAAGGGTGGGGAGAAGGTGTTTTTAAGATTAATTTTACTTCTCATTGCCCTTCCCTGCTTTTTTTAGTAACAAATTCTATTAATATCCCTGAGTCTGTTTTGTTCTTGACAGTATTTGGTGAGTGATATCTCCTGGTCCACAACTCATGAATCTTCCACTATATTTTCTTTCCCTGTTCAGCTGAGAGGGTCAGTGATGGAGCAAGCTTTGATGGGTACCTTGGTAGCATCCAGCCAAGGTCAACCCACTACACCAGGTTAAACAACCACAACTCCTTCAGCCACTCCTCATCAGACATGTGCTCCAGACCCCTCACCAGATTCACTTCCCTTCTCTCTGGACTTGCTCCAGCACCTCGATGTCTTTGATGGGCCTAGAACTTGACACAGCACTCAAGCTGTGGCCTCCCTACAGCCAAGTACAGTGGGACAATCTCTACCCTAGTCTTGCTGCCACACTATTCCATATACAAAGCATGACAACAGAGGTCTTCTTGCCTACCTGGCCATGTGCTGGGCCATGTTCAGACACTGTTGACCAGTACCCCTAGATCCTTATCTGCTTGGCCACTTTCCACTCTGCTCCTAGCCTGTAGTGCTGCAGGAAGTTGTGGTGGCCAAACTGTATGACAAAACTCATGGTCTTGTTGAACCTCGTGCTGTTGGTCTTGACCCACTGATCCAGCCTAACTCCCTCTAAAGAGCCTTTCCACCCTCCAGGAGATCTATGTTCCCACCCGTCTTGGTGTCATCTACAAATTTACTGAATGTCCATTCAATCTCCTCATCAATTAAGATTTTAAACACAACTGCTCCCTAGGAGAAACCACTGATGACCAGACATCTGCTGCATGCAGCATTATTCCCACCATCCTCTGGGCCCAGCCTCCAATCAGCTCTTAACCCAGTGAAGATGCACCTATCTAAGCTGTAGGCTGCAGCTTCTCCAGGAAATGCTGTGGAAGACTGGGTTGAAGGCTTTAATGAAGTCCAGATAGACAAATTCACAGCCTTTTCCCATGCACCAGATGGGTCACTTGGTCATAAAAGGAGGTCAGGTTGGCCAAGAAGGACCTGTCCTTCTAAGCCCAGGCTGGCTGGGCCTGATTCCCTGGTTGTCTTGTATGTGCTTTGTGGTCACTCTTAAGATTATCTGTTCCATAACCTTGCCAGGCACTGAGGTCAGGCTGACAAGCCTGGAGTTTCCCAGAGCCTCTTTTCAGCCTTTCTTGAAGATGGGCATCACATTGGCAGCTACACTCATCTGGGACTTCCCCTACGAGCCAGAAGTGATGATAAATGATACAGAGCATCTTGGTAAGCTCTTCCACCAGCTTCCTCATCAGCCCCAGATAAATTCCATCTGATCACATAGATTTGTGGGAGTCTAAGTGGCTCAATAGGTCACTATTTCCCCCTGAGTTACAGAGGGTCCATTCTGCTCCATGTTCCTATGTACCAGCTCAGGTTTGTGCTGAGGATAAGAGATCTTACTGTTAAAGAATGAAGCAAGGAAGGCGTTAGGAACCTCATCCTTTTCTTCATTGTTGGTGATACTCTTTCCCCCACATCCAATAAAGAATAGAGGGTTTTTTTGGTCTTCCTTGTGTTGTTGATATAATTATAAAACCACTTTTTATTATCTTTTAAAAGCAGTGGCCACATTGAGTTCTGACTGAGCTTATGCCTTTCTATTTTTCTTTCTATATGAGCTAATGACATCCCCTTGTGTTCTTTCTGAGATCCCTGCCCCTTTTTCTTAAGGTCATACACTATCTTTTTTATTTTGACTTCTTGCGAAATCTCCCCATTTAGACAGGCCTGTCTCCTCCCCCACCATCTCATCTGTCAACAATAGGGACAGGTTGCTCCTAGACCTTCAAGATTTCTTCCTGAAAATATGTACAGCCTTTCTGGAAGGTTGGGTTGCAAGAGTGTCTCTGTCCATACACTGAAATGGGAGGAAAAGTAGGAAGAAACAGTTTATGCCATCCCATGCCCACCCTTGGAGGAAGGGGAATCCATGGCACTTGCTATCCCAAAGTTATCACCCTCTGGAAACAATTAGGCTGAAGAGTGACAGTGCATCAGCTCCAGAATAAACCTGAAATCATTTAGGGAGTTGCACCAGGGTTGACTTTGCTGCACTACACTAAAGATCCTTTCCTTCTCTGGCTCTAGCTCTCTCAGTGCATTTTCACATTTCCAGGATGTGCCTGACCTCAGCCCCCACAGCAGCACATTTGGTGTGAAATCTTTATTAGTTTATTCACGTTCAACATTCCATGTTTAATGAGCAGTAGAGAAGGTGAGACATCCTGATGACTTCCAAGCAGGAGTCATTCAGCCTACACTGTAGTGTGTGGATATTTCCCAGAGAAGATGACCTACAGGCCTCAGAGCAACACCTCATGAGACTAAATTGGATGCTGTTAGAACAGGCATGGTGATGGATCAGGAGCAGTGACAGGGCAAATGTTCAATTCACATGGTTTTAGTCACAAATTCCCCCTTTTCACTTCCTAAGGAAAGACAGGGACTTCCAGAAATATTTCTTCAAATTCATTATTGACCACTAAGATGAGGATTCATGTCCACTCTGATCTCCATAGCACAGGCTCTTCACTGGTTGTTCTGAGCTCTATTTATGGTACATGGAGGTAAATGAGCACAGTGACTTCTCTGTTCTTGATTCAGCTGGGATAGAGGTGCTTTTTTCCCAAGTAGCTGGTCTAGGGCTGTGTTTTGGATTCGGTATTGAGAACAATGTTGATAAGATTATTGCTCCATTGTGCTCACCCCAGGTCAAGGATTTTTCAACATCTTTTGCTCTGCCACCAAGCAGATGCATGAGAAGTGAGGAGGAAGTACAGACAGGACAACTGACCCAAACTGGCCAGAGGAATATTCCAGACCATAGAAAATCATGACCTTTATGTAAACTGTGGGAAGCTGGCTGGAAGTGGGCTGATTGATGCTCAAGTACAGGCTGTGCATCAGTCAGTGGTTGGCAAGCAATTACTTTGGGCATCACTTGGGTTTTGCTCCTCTCTCTCTTTCTCTCTATTTATCTCTTTCTCTTTTCCCTCTCTTCTTTTCAACAATATTTTTTTTTAATTGCCATTGCTTGTTTTGTTTTGTTTCAAGCTCTTCTTATCGCAGCCAACAAGTTTTAGTTTTCCAAGGGGCTGTAGGGCACCAGGGAGTGAGTGAGCAACTGTGTGGTACTTAGCGGCCATCTGGTGTTAAATCACCATCAAGTCCCATATCATTAATGAAGCCAAAGGTCTTGGAGTGAGGTGGCCGCTCCCAGAACTAGACACTGAACTCAAGGTGTGGCATCACCTGTGCTAAGTACAGGGGAAGAATCACTTCCCTAGTCCTGCTGGCCCCACTGTTCCTGATCCAGGTCATGATGCCATTGACCTTTATAGCCACGTGGGCACACTGCTGGTTCATGTTCAATCGGCTGTCAACCAGAACCACCAGGTCCCTTTCTGCCTGGCTGCTGTCCAGCCACACTGTCCCCAGTCTGTGGTGCTGCAGGGGGTTGTTGTGGCAGAAGTGCAGGACATGGCACTTGGTCTTATGGAACCTCATATAGTTTGATTTGGCCCATCTATCCAGCCTGTCCATGTCCCTCTGCTGAGCCCTCCTACCCTCCAGCAGATCAATGCTCCTACACAGCTTGGTGTCATCCATAAATTTGCTAATGGTAGACTCAATCCCCCATCTAGATCATCAATAAAGATATTGAATAGGACTGGGACCAACATTGATCACTGGGGGAGACCACAGTGTGGTGGATACAGCACCATCCCCATCACTTTCTGGGTCCACCATGACCCAGTCCCTAACCCAGCAAAGATGCATCTGTCCAAGCTGTGGGCTGCAGCTTTTCCAGGAGAATGCTATGGGAGATGATGTTAAAGGCTTTGCTGAAGTCCAGGTAGATACAACCACAACTTTCCCCACATCCACCAGGCAGGCCACCTCTTAATAAAAGGAGATCAGGTTGGTCAGGCAGGACCTGCCCCTCCTAAACCCATGCTGGCTGGGTCTGATCCCCTAGCCACCCTATAGATACCATATGATGGCACTCAGGGTGATGGCACTGTTCTATAACCTTCCTGCCACTGAGGTCAGGCTGATAGGCCCAGAGTTTCCCACTCTGACATCCTCTTGAGACAGAGTAGAAATTTTCCAGAGTAGAAATCCATTTTGGATTTAGGTAAATTAAGTCTTGAATTAAGTCTGTAACTTGCAAACATAGCCTTTTGGTCTGACTGCCTGCTCTTGCAAAAAAATCTATGCTCAAAGAAGCTGCTTCAGCCAAAAGACAGAGATAAGAGAGGGGCTCCTTGGGCTTTAAAACAGACGGAGAGGCTGCAGGAGACAGGGCAGGGTGACTCAGGAGTTCTTTCCGTACTTTCAGATAAAAAACTAACTGCAAGGGTAACTAGCTGCAAGTGTAACTAGCTACAAATATAATGTGAAATCAGTA